TATCATCAAAAAGGATACATATGAAGATTTAATTTTTTGACAAATAGAATTTATAGGCTCTATAATTAAAGGAACATTGCTATGTGTCCAACCAATCTAGTTATATCTAGCATTATAAATATTTTGCTTAAAGAACAATATTGGATCAATTTCAATAAAATCATTTTATCTTAAATAAAGTAGCTAGTGCGTGCGCATGTGTGTGTGTATATATATATATATATATTCAAAAGCATCCACATAAGAATTGAAAAACTATTTTGCCATGGAACCCATGTGAACTTAATTTGATATTTACAGGTAGTCCTTGACTTACAATCATTCGTTCAGTGACTATTCAAAATTACCATGGTGTTAAATGAAGGCATTCCAACCTATGGAGAGCCTCCACGTTTACATGATTGCAATCTGGAGACTGATCTCTTGAGGGCTGGCTAGAAAAGCTCCATTCCAAAATCCCAGCAGGGTTATGGCATGGACCATTTTCAACCAGTCCCCAGATCCAGATCTTGTCTCTGAAGGCTGCCTCAAAAAGCTTCATGCCAAAATCTGAGGAGAATTTTCAGCCACAGAATGGAAATGCTTCAGAAGCCTCTTGATTCTGGGACTAAATATCCAAGTGCTTCTGAAACCCTTGAAGACTCTCCCCAACACTTCCATGCAGCCTCTTGTAGCAAAGTCTGGGGCGTGCAGCTTCTTTTTGACTTTCCCCCTACATTGATTGTGTGAAGCTGGCAGAAAGTTGCCTCACCTAACGCATGAGACATTCATTTAATGATGGCAGCCAGGATTACCTTTATTGTCATTGCTATGCAAAATAGTTTGCACTTTATGATCACATTTTCTTAGTGATAACAATCCTGATTCCAATTGCCCTAATATGTCTAGGACTACCTGTAAGTGCCAACAGTTCCTCAGTCAGATGAAGGTATCCTTCCTTTCTGCATGGGCTGAAAAAAGGCTGCCCAAAAAAGAGATTTCTACTCTTCAAACAGTGTTGGTTGAAATTTATCAGATATTGCAAAATTTAGATAGTAAAGGCATATAAGTTTTCTCAAATATTTTAAATGTAAATGCAATAGCTAGCCATTGCTGAGCTTTTAAATAAAATATTAATTCAAAATTTGGACAAATCGGAAGTTTTTGAAAGCTAACAGTTAAATTGAACCCTTTGCTAATCTTCATCTGCATAGGTATAAATTTCATAAGATCATATTACTTGTTTGTGAAAACAACAATAATGTTTGGCTAGCAAACTGCAAAATTAGGTCTGAATGCTTAATCTTATCCATGAATCATTTCAGTTATTTTTTGTACTGTTTTTTAGTTGTGGGAACTTTTATCATATCCTCTAATAGATAAGGGTACATGGTGGTTCAGTGGCTAAGACACTGAGCTTGTAGATCAGAAAGATTAGCAGTTCAGCGGTTCGATTCCCTAGTGCCGTGTAATGGACTGAGCTCCCGTTACTTGTCCCAGCTTCTGCCAACCAAATGCAAGTAGAAAAATAGGGACACCCTTTGGTGGGAAGGTAACAGTGTTCCGTGTGCCTTCGGTATTTAATCATGCCGGCCGCATGACCACAGAGGCATCGTTGGACAGCTCTGATTCTTTGAAACGGATATAAGCACCGCCTCCTAGAATCAGGAATGACTAGCACATATGTGCGAAGGGAACCTTTACTTTATTTACTAATAGGTAATGCAAAGTGATAGAAATAGAAGCAACTGAAATCACAAGTTTTGCACAAAATCTTTTCCCAAAAATAAAAAACCCCTCAAAGAATGAACAGAATTCTAAGAGAAAAAATGCCTGATTGAAGTAATGTAAAGAACATCTTAAGAGTTCACAAGGTTGTTTGAAAATTGGGAAGTATCTTGATGAATAGCTTGTTTATCTGTAGATCTCAAAACACAATTTGTATAAGTGAAAGTATAAGTAAAAATTAACTGCAGATGTTACATGTTTCTTGTTGATAGATCAGATTCTGTTGTCTCTTTTATTACCAGAAAATAAGTTTATTTTTATTGTTCAAAAATCATATTTATATTCCACACAAGCTGCATAGAGCTTAAAGATTTGTCATGCAATTAATTGGTGACAAGATTTTTTTTTTTTAAAAAAAATGGGTACTCTGATTAGAATTCCTTATGGAATATGTTTCAGCACTGAAAGTTGAATTTAAAGTGCTAAACGCACAATTCCAAACACAGAGAAAGTGGATAAATGTTTTCAATTTGATAGGAGGTTCTAATATATATTAATATAAAACAATATTTGTAGCTCAGGCTTAAATTAAGGTTTTGTTGAACTGATGATATTATCTAGTTAGGTAATGAAACATTTGCAAGAAAGCAACCAAATTCAGAGAGCACCAAAGACCCCACACTCTAATATATCAAATATTATAGTATGAAAATTGCATAGCATTCATTCTTTTTAATAGTAATAATATGAAATTTTTAGGCATGAAACTATCGAAAAGCAGTATAACAATCTGCAGGGAATGTGTAATTCACTGAATAAACAACTTGAGACCCTTAAAAGACTGAATGAATCGCTGAAGCAACAGAATGAAAAGTAAGTTAAGTTCTTTTGTAAAGTTTAAATTAAATGGTTTTGTGGAATTATAAGAAAAGTTGTATAGGTTTTTTGTTTTTGTTTTTTTTGTTTTTTGGCCAAACAAAGTTACAGGCAAGCACAAGCAGTTAGTTTCATTTCATTTCAGGACAAGCCCAGACAGACTGCTTTCTTTACTTCTTAGAGCAACAGACACAGACCTCAGAGCTTACTGACTAATTTCAGTTTCAATTCTCATCTAAGTCACACCCAGACTCCAAGCTTGAGTTTCTGTTTCAATTCTTTCCACAGACTCAGATCTGTTTAAGCTCCTATTGGCTGATTTAGTTGCAATGCCTATTCATTGACCTTGTTCCCCTGTCTTTCCCAGTCATGAATATTTTAACACATATGCCTATTCCAATTATACTATCTACTTTTTTTCTCACTTGTCAGCCACCCAACTTCAACTTTTTATCTGATTCATTTTTTTCCTTAATTCCTGTTTTCAACATTGTTAAATGACATGAAAAGTTTCATTTGGGTGTGGGGTGCTTCTCCCTATTGACGGCACATCATATGAAAATAAACTTTGATAACAAGTAAGGCTGTTGTTGATATACATAGCTGCAGTATGATACTTAGAGGCATATCACTATTTTTCATATTTATTTTAAAATGAGAAATCTAATATTTATGCTTACAATTTCAGAACCGTTGTTCAGCTTCTCGAAACAGAAGAACACAGAAAAGAACTGAACAAACAGATCCAAGAAAAAGATGGAGAAATATCAAGTTAGTACTTATAAATTTATCGGCTTTTTCAAACATATTGTTCATAAAGAAATTCACGTGTTCCATTATTGCATATTTGTTGAGTTCTTCATGCTCCCTTAGCTTGGCTGTTTTCTTGCAGACATTTCATTGTCAGGCTGTTTATAACATTATTTTATATTTGAAAAGCTGTAAACTTGCAATTCTATGTTCCTTTTTAAGGCATCCCAAAGACAAGTATTTCAAAACCCTGTTTTCTAAGTCGTGCAGAAGAATCTGACTCTAATGCCTCGGGTATAAAGCATACAAGTCCTGCTCCTTCATTTTAGAAAGCCAAGCAAAAAAAGACAAGCTGAATCCTAGTCTGCTCCCTAAAAAAGAAGGGAGCTATTTTTATTTCAAGCATTATTAATGCTAGTGAGAAAACCTAGAAAAGCAAATGTTTTAAAAAATAAAGTGCTACTCTATCTTCTGCCCTGGCAACAGAAGGCCATAATCCCTTACAGCAGGGATGAGCAACCCTCGGCTCTGAAGCCGCATGTGGCTTTTTCATCCTTCTGTGGCGCTGTGGTTGGCTCCACAATTGATAGGGCTTTTGGGTAGGGCAGGTAGAGGAAAAAAGATGCTACGCTAGGAGGAGACTCTATGGTGGGGAAACCGGACTTCCAGTCAGCCCCAGAATTGAATGGGAGGCTTCTGGTTAGGATCTTTGTGGCTGTTTGAGTGTTTAAGGTTGCCGACCCCTGCCCTAGAGCCTAGGAGAACAAAAATCTTCTACTTTTAATTTGCTCCGTTCTGCTCCTTTTTTTTTTACTGTATTTGCCAATGGTCAGTACATTGCATGTTAAAATGCACCCTGGTTCAGGATATATTTAAATGCTAACCTAGTTAATGGGACCCTTGAATTGTTTTGCTTTTGAAATTCTACCTATACTCTGAATCAAAGCCAATATAACTGGTTGAGGGGGCCTAGGCTATCTTGCCAATTTGGCTAAGAACTAAGTAGAAGAGTGAATGATCTTTATCCTTCATAACTCATGAAAAGGGTAGCTAATATCCAGATTAATCTCTCTGCATATGGAGCTTCTCTCTGTTGACCCTTTAGTTAGATGTGGCAGCTGGTACACTTAAAATGATACAAGGTAGAGCAGAGGCCTGCCAAAGGAAACTGCTAATGCCACCCCCACAGTGTCAGGACTAAGCATAAGGTAGGACATTCTGCCCTCCATACCCGAGTGCCCACCACCAGGGCATGATCCTGCCATCCCTACTTCCTGGTGCTAGATTTCACCACCCCTGAGCTGTTTAGGTCTAGTTTCTGCCTAATTTAATTTAAATTATTTATAGGCCAGAGATCTTTCCTCACTAGGCAACCTGTTTATGTTTGACAAACATCATATTCCAGGACAGCTAGTTCTTGAATTACAATAATTCGTTTAGTGACCATTCAACAGGCACTGAAAAAGTGACTTATGACCGTTTTTCACACTTACGACTATAATAGTTTCCTCATGGTCATATGATCCAAATTCAGACTCTTGGCAACTGAGTCATATTTGTGACAGTTGCAGTGGCCCAGGGTCATATGTTCCCCTTATGGGACCTGACAAGCAAAGTCAACAGGGAAGCCAGATTCACTTAACAACTCTGTTACTAATTTAACAAGTGCAGTGATTCATTTAACAAATGTGGAAAGAAAGTTTGTAAAATGGGGCAAAATTCACTTAACCCTTGTCTCGCTTAGCAACAGAAATGTTGAGCTAAATTGGGATCGTAAGTCAAGGACTACATGTACATGTACTTACAATTAAAGGCTAAGAAAAACGTTTGGCAAACAGTAACTGTAATGCTGAAAGTGCAAGGTATTTTCATTGGTGATGCATAGAAAGAGAAATATCAGTACACAAATCACAGCACAGATTTTAAACAATATCACAAGACAATACTTTCTTCATTTGATCAAATAACAGATCTGTCATCATGGGTTAGAAATAATAATTGTTGTAACCAGATATATTGAGAAAACATGGCTATGCTAATTAATGTAAATTGCTGAATTAACTAATACAAGCACTTTCTGTTGTTCAGAATAAATTATTTATATGTAAGGCAAATCAGGCAAAAAAAAGTAAGTTCATATGTTTTGCTGAGCTGGAATGTTATTTCTTTGGATTTGGTTTATTTCTTGGACCTGTCATTTTGGTTTATTAAAGAAGCCATGGTTAAGTGAATATTAAATTTAGCTATTACACTTTGTTTCTTAAAATCCACATTTCAAGTATATATTTGCACTAAACTGAAAAATGCTTCTTTATTAAGACAAATGCTGAGGACTGTAAAATGTGAGCGGTCAATGTTCAGCAGATGGCAGTGCTGCACAATTCATGCAATGATAGTTCTGGGAAAGTATTAATGTCCAAAAGTTTTGGAGTAAACCACTTTCTTTCATATTTTTCAAAAGATTTACAACAGAAGATAAAAGTTCAAGAAGAAAAACTAAAAGTCAGACAGAAGGAAAAAATAGATATGGAGGACAAAATTGACATTCTTAGAAAAGAGCTTAGCAAAACTGAACAGGCAAGAAAAGAACTGAGTATTAAGGTAAGTTATTTATTTATTCAGGATTACTTGTGTGTTGCCACTTCTTGTGATTCTAGGGAACATAGAATAAATTCATTGTTGGTATGTATACATATTGAGAAAAATAAAATTACAAATGAATAGAGGTTGTAAGTATAGCTAGAGATATATTGAATTAAATTAGATACACTTTCGAGTAAATAAGAGTGTCTTCTTAAGAGTCATAAAAATAATAGACATTAAATAACTTACATCCATATATCGTGCCTTATAAATATAATGTGAGAGATTGTGTATGTGTATTTCTTTTTTAAATTGATTATTTCTAATAATCAGAGAAAATAGTTATTTTCTTAGATGTTTATATTTAAAAGACTAAAGAAATTTATTTGTGTTGGTTGATTTATGATTTATTGGTTTTGTGGTTGTAAGCTTCCCAGAGTTGCTTAAGGTAGGTAGCCATATAAACCATTTAAATAAATAAATAACATTTACACTTTCCTTTCAAATCTTTGCATATAAAGTAGGGAATCAGTTAAGCTTTTTCTGATTTTAAATTACAACTGGTTTGATTTTATTCGGATCCAAACTACACCAGATACGTCAGTGTTTAAATAACTTTGGTATGATAATAGTGTGCACTGGTGTTATGGTAATTTGTAGTATGACCTCACTGTTATTTGAATTTACAGAAAGCACAACCTGGGTCAAAGCTTTTTTTTCTGTCTCTTTATGTATATTAAATTGATTATCTGAAATTTGGATGATTATAATTTATCAATTGAAAGATCCTCCAAAATATACTTAGCACAATTAATAATTAACAACCAAATCACTTCAAATTATGTTTTATGAGTTATTGTCTAGTTGACAAACTGGTTTGTCAGTTTCAGATGTTCTGAGTAAGTACTGTTACCTGTAGTGTGGAGCTTAGTAGACTTTGATTTCACCCAATGTGAACAGAGAATGCATCTTTGCATGTTTGTTAGCTATATTAAATAGTGTATAATATGTATTTTCAGGCATCTTCTTTGGAAGTTCAGAAGTCACAGTTGGAAGGACGGCTAGAAGAAAAGGAGGCCTTAATTAAGCTTCAGCAAGAAGAACTAAACAAACATTCTCATATGATTGCAATGATTCATAGCTTAAGTGGTGGTAAATTAAATGCAGAAACAGTGAATCTCAGTTTATAGAGCAGATTTTCTAAATATGCAATTAATGTTGTTTTATGTTTCGTTATGAAAAAACATTTTAGGTAACTTTCCTTGAAGATATTATGGCTTTTATGAATAGTAGGCTACATTCTATTCATTTTGACACTAATATCTCTATCACTATTGGTTGCCTTGTTTATGTATTTAACAAGGACTAGATATAATTTTAGAAAACATAAGTTAAAAAACCATTTGATGCCCAAACTATCAACTATGCTAGGTTTACTTAAGTTAGTAATTCTACTCTTAAACTGATTTTACAAAAGCTTTCATTTCCTTGTATACAAAATGTAGCTGAAATCTTGCTGGTTAACCTATACGTTCAAAATGAAAGTATTCAAATATATATGTATATATTATGTAGAAAAACATTTTAAGTCTTATATTACAATACAGATATACATTAATGAATTAAATATTTAAAAGAAATCTGAATTTCCCTCCCCCCAAAAACAGAATAGAAGCTCAGTTTTCATATATTCAGTTTTCCTTCCGGTGTAAAAGTCAAATAATTCTCTTCATAGTTTTTCAGATTTAGAGATTTCTGAAGTTAATAGTCACAGGTTGTTTGTGTTCTTTTTAAAAATATTCTACAAGTTTTCTAGTATTTATTACAAACCTATTTTTTTGCTGAAGATAGACAAAGATACTGTATATTTTTAAACTAGTGCATGAATATGTTTTAAAATAATGAACTTTCAACAACTATGTGTAGTTTAAAAATCAACTTACAACATATAGAGCAAGGGCATATTTTCCTATTGTACTTTATATATCTGTCCTCTTTAATGATATAATGAAACCTGATTATGTTTGGAGACACTGAAACTCCAAAACAATTAGTATTAATTCCACTTAAGAGGGTAGTGATCATATGCCAACATTTCAACAAATACCTTTACATTTTAAATTCTGTGTGTCAGTCTTCCTCTTTAACTATGTGCAATTGATGCTGTCAATTATATTTTTGAAAGCTATTGTCTCCAACTTGGCAGTGGTATTTGACATTTAAATGAAGTATTTATTATGGACTCTAGTGGTCTTTTTATATTTTTGTTCTAATTGTCATCATTTGTCTCTGGAAAATGAAATAAATAACACAAGTTATGAATGGATCTTTGATTGATGAAAACTGATTTACTTTTTTCTTCCAATTTATCTTGACTTGGAACTTGCAGGAGCAGTTCATAATTAGTTCCACAGTCAGCCCTTTGCCATTCTTTCCCATAATAACTGAGGTCTTCCATATTTTTATTTTCCATTAAAAAAACCTGTTTGTGCATTCAATGTAATGATGCCCATGTATGATGAACTGTACTGTTCATTTTGTTTGTTGGAATGCTGTTAGTAATGAAAAACATTGGATTGGGAAAAATTGGTATACCATTGTCCTACTCCATTTCTATTTCTTACACATGCTTTCCAGTTAGGTTGTCGTCCTGAACATTTCCAACTTTGGCATTCCAAAATGCAACCACCAAAAGCACAGAGTACTTGCATAGTTTGTCGATTTCAGATTCAACTTGAGCAGATAACCTGTCAATCTTCTCCTCTGTATCAATGGTTGAGGCATGAAATTAGTTATGTAATCATCATTAACCAAGGTTTGTCTGCAAAGTCTAGTTGATGATATTTAATCACTCTTTGCTTTGTACCCAGATATTGCCCTTACAATATCATTCCTGATTATGAAAGCAATGTCATTCCTGTGTGTCTTGAGTAGTAAAAAGTATGATCTTTTGGCTGAAAGTGTCCACTTCTATCTAATTAACTAATGCCTAAGTTGTTAATGTATGCCCAATTCATACATTTCTGTGCTGATTTTCTCATGATCCTGATTTTTACATTCCGTGTTTCTACTATATTTCTGCCTTTGCAGTTTCAGATTTTATTATACTGCAATATGGGCAACTAGGTGTCCCAGAGGCTTTAATCTCACTGTGTCATAAACACCTTTAGTACTCTGATAAATCTTCAGCTTTTCTTCAGTAGCATGTCAAGCATGTTTAGCGAATTTATTTAAGAAAAGTTATATGGCCACCCAACTCACTTTCAGTGACTCCAGATGGCTTGCAAGGATAACAATCCAATATAAAAACAATAAAAGCAATAACTCCACCACTCCAACTACAACAATCAAATAAGCCATTTGATAAACTCCATCCCACTCTGTGTTGCCAGGCCTATTGGCAAAACCTGATATCCAGGCCTTGTGAAAGATTGTCAAAATGGGGACCAAACTTATCTGTAGGGATGATGTTCCACAGGGAGCCACCACAGACAAGATCCTTGGCCCCACTTGATGGACCTCCTTAGGACAGAATCTATTGTATACGTAATGTATATATATTGTACAACACTGCATGCTGGGATGATAAAAAAAAATACACACTTAAGCTCTTCGTCAAGTGGAGCCGATAACAAGTTTCCATTAAAGAATGACAAGAACAGCTCTTCCCAAAGGTCATAAAGAATTAGTCTCACTAATAGCAAACCTGATGGTAGTTTTGTCTGGCCCGTAAAAGGAATAAACATAATTGTTTCCACAATAAGAAACTTTATAAATGGCTTTAGCAGATCTTGCATATGGCAATTTAAATGTCAAGGTTTCCAATGTTCTCTATGATAACATTAGTCTTCAATGAACACTTTTTCATATTTTGAGAACAGATATTTAATTGTGTTGTGCTGCCATCTGCATTCAGAGACCAAATGATTCAGCATATACATACTCTCACATACCATCTGTTGGGAACACCTTAAACCAAATGCATTTCTTGCAGGAGATTGTATTAGCTGTGGAGGCAGCTGTGAGAACTGAGAAGAAGCAACTGTTCAAAGGTTTTTCTGAACACTGAATCGCATTATACTCTTTGAATATGGATCTCTGAATAAATCTAATATGAAGCCCTGGAATCTTCACTTGCTGCCTGGTTGGTTGCAAAAAAACAATAATTGATAGAAACTAGCTATCTAAATAATAAATGCTTAAGGAAAATGTCTTTGGAAATGTTTCACAAGAAGAAAGCCCATAAGGAAATGGCAAGAATAGGAATAAACACAAGGAAATCGCAAGTTTTTAACTTGATTTCCTCAAAATGTAATAAACGTTACTGATTTGTTCAAAACCTTACAAGGAGTTCCTGACTGAAGTTTTCAAAGCTGTTTTCTCAGTCTGAAAGTCAGTACTAGATAATTAAACTATTCTTGCTTCCTGACTAATTAATACTAATTAACGAGATAGGCATTGTTTATGAGAACCAATAGGCACAGGATATAATCAGACAAGGCTTCCTTCTATAAGACCTATTTTTTCCGCTAATGGAAATATAAACCACATTCATAACACTTCCTTTAATATCAGTAGCAAATTAAAGGCCATTAAAGCTACTTATTCTGTTTCAAAATTACAGCTGCTGCAGTGCCCTCACAATCATTCACTCCTACGACTTTGCAGGTGTGCCACAGCGCTCTCTGCCTCTCCCCGCCCCATACCCTGCTCACCAGGATCCTGAGGGCCTTGGGCCTATTCCCCACATGCCTGGCATCCATTGCATACTTACCTCTTGAAGATCTCTGGATCCTATATTGGGAAGGTCAGGGCACACGTCCTTGGGTCACATGACTGCCTCCCAGAAGTGGCCATCAGTTTCAGTGCACCCACAATTCCTTGCAGGCATTTCAAAATGCCAGCTGCTTCTGCAAAGCCATGATACGCATACCAAAATGGACACTTTTGCAAGGATGCTGCATTGGCCAGGGATGAATTGCTTTATTTTGCTGCCTGCACGCAATTCTGCACAGCCCTGCAGAATTGCAGGTGTGCTGATAATAATGGCCACTTCCAGGAGGCAGCCCTGTAGCCCAGGGCCATCTGTCCTGTATTCCTTCTCCAACATGAGGTCATGAAATCTTCAAGGGGTAAATAAGGAATGGGTGGAGACTAGTGGGGTGGGAATAAAGCCTAAGGCCTGTGGGGACTCAGTGGGAGAAGGAAAAAGCTGTGGAGATCGAAGGGCTGAAAAAAACAACATGGGATAACTTGGGGGTGGAGGATAATTTGGAAGGTGCAGGTAGGCCTATGCCTGTGTTAGATTTCAAAGACCTCTTCCGCACTGAGCCACTGAGACTGCTTGTTCTCCACTTAACAACCAGCATTTTCATTTAACAGCTGTCTCAGGAAGAGCAGGGGCTGGGGATCTTTAAGTGAGACCATCTCACTTAACAGCCATCATCACTTATAACCATAATGGGCAGACTCCATTATGGTCATATCTTGGGAACTACCAGAATTCCAGAACTCTGCCTGGAAATGTAACCACAGTAATTCTAGAGTATCACAAATGTCCCAGATATAAACTGGAAAAATATTACAGTCTCTCATGTTTTCTTGAAAAAAATGAGGTCAGGGCAGTTTATAAATGAAATGAAAACTTGGGAAGAAGGTTGTTGTTTATCTGTGAAGGTTAACTGGAAGATTCCCTTTTTATTATGGTGTAACGACATTTTTGCCAATGCTTTTTGTATTAGAGTATTACTGCTTGTACTACCAGTTTATGTGCTTCTGCCTGAATGCCCTCAAATATTTAATGCAAGACTTGGCTGTGTCCTAATTTTTTCTATCAGAAGACTATACAAAGTGCTTTATATTCATTTTGTATTTTGAACACCTCAGTTCAGTAATCTTTAATCCTTGTGATAAGTCTATAAAACGGTACTAAAGCAATACTTCTTCCCCTGCTTTTTATGCCTGAAGACATGAAATAAACATTTCAACGAGAACGAAGCAAAGAGAACAATAAGAAACAGCATAAACTAACAAAATAATAAAGGACCATAGTCTATAATCTTCCAATCCAATTACCTGTGATTAAGTTTAGCAGAGCTCAGTTGGACTTGCATCTGAGTGAACATAGTGAGATAGTATTCTTAAAAATATTCTGGTTCATTGCAGCACCCGGACTTTTTAAAGTCTAAGTAATTCTCATTTAGCAAGTGCCTCCTTTAGTAACCATTAAGATTTACAAGGTGATAAAAAAGCAAGAGTGCATTTCACTCACCCTGCTGCTTGGCGCTCACCAGCTTTGCTGCCCTGTTGGGCCCTGGCATTCCCAGGCTTTCCTTTCAAGGCTACTCACACTATTCTCCAAATAGCTTCTGAGGCATTCCAAAGCATCTCAAGAACAACATACGCAATTTTGAGAACAATGGTCATGGTCTTCCTGTGAGGTTTTAGAACGCTTCAAAAGTTTTCCAAAGCATTGTAAAAATGGCACACGCTATCTGGACAATGGTGGATGTGGCCTCACAAGATTTTAGAAGGCCTCAGATATCTTTGGAACATTGTGAAAACAGTCTGCACTATTTGGAGAACAGCATGACCAGTTTTAGAAAGTATGTTTGGCCAGCCCAGCAACTGCCTTGCATCAAATCAGGCTGGGTGCGTCTTGTGAGCAACAGGAGACAAACAGTGAAGGTTACTTGGGCCTGAAAAACACATGATAAATGGCCTTGGGAAGAAGGCTGGTGTGGCCAATAGGTCAGCTGGAGGTAACATAGCCAGTAGAGCTAGCATAGCAGAACCATCAGGGCTTCTACTTTAGTCCCATCACCGCTGAGAAATACCATAAAACAGGGCAGCCAAAAAGTAGAGATAGGTGGCAGGGTAAGTAGGTGGGAGGAACTGAAGTATGCCTATGGTTGTAATTGTGGATGGTTTGCCAAACAACCAAATTTTGATCATAGGATCACAAAGCCATTATAACATCCATAACTTTAGAGACTGAGTGTAAGTATCATTTATTCAGGTCTCCCATAACCTTGACCAATAGCTGAACAGATGGTTGTAACTCAAGGACTCCACGTATAATATTACTATCTGCTAATATATAAAGAGTTTGTATTTTTCCTTTAAAATATGCAGTGATGTTCTGCAAATTGTTTTCTCTGAACATACTCCAACCATACACATATTAATAACATTTAACCAGGCTATTCTTATTAAAATGATATAGTAGCTAGGCAGAAGCATGATGTACTTAAAATAAGCCTTTACAAAATAAGGTAAATATTATATGCTGACATAATGTCTTCAGAGTAGCAGCAGC